CGGCTTGAAGGCAATGTGCCAAGCCATTTGTTCAACAATTTGTACAAGATGGCACCTAGTGTGCCTGCTTTACAGTCTTTCCAAACCTGAATAACATCACAGTCAGCCATCATGTAAAAATTAATATGCCACACGTGACTTTTGTCATGAAAGAGAGGCTCTCTTGGCCTAATGGAACCAAAATTAAAAGCCAAGCTTCTACGGAATACTAGTTATTCCGCGGGCAATTACTGGGGGTTAATTCCCTTCAGTTCCATTATTTTATCTCAATCCGACAGCCGTCACCCTAAACTAATACACCTTTTCCCAGTAAGACCTATTTCCCCCCGGCAATATACACATCTGTACAAAGCACGTTAACTTCCACAACGGATTCTCACATATAAACCTGTTGTTTACAGTGATACACTTGTGGAAAAATGTTTTAATTAGCCTGTTGTACAGTTAACCACCCCACGACATGAATTTTACCCCTGTACCGCGTTACAGTGTGTGGGATTTATCAAAGATTGTATATTCCAGGCGAGAGGTCTCACTCGCCTGATCTTTTCAGGGGGAATAGAATGAAAAAGAAATGGGGCAATATTAGAGACTACTGCTCTGAATTAGCAGGAACTCGCTTATAAAACGTGAGTTTTACCTCTCTTTCCTGGTCTCAAATTCTGTAATCAACGGTACTCATTTACTTTCCCTCAAAAATGAGACTATGTGCTTCAGTTAACTTTACATGTGACATGAACACAAACCAGCACAGCAGTTCAAACACAGAGAATAATATATGTATTTTCATTAACCTTACTGTTTTGGATCCAATTTGGAACGTCGAAGAGTGGCCGTTCCACACATCAACCTTAATTTAGAATTAATTCAATGTGCGAAGTTTATGTGTAACAACGGTTCCGCTTACCTTTCGTTTCTGCCCGGGCACAGTTGATGTGTGGGACCGCACAGCTCTCCAACTCAGACCAGGAAATGATACCAGTCAAAATCAGGACTGCATGTTGGATTTCAGTCCAGGAACGCTGCTGTCGCGTCCGGACCACTTGTTTATGAAAGTGGACTCAGTCTTCTGAAGAGTTCAACTGGCTCACGGGTCGAACGGCACCAGTTATAAGCTATTTTTAAGCTTCTTCCGGCTCTTTGTAACCAGGAACTCACAAAGACGAAGTAGACCACTTGGATATATAAAAAATAACCGTGCTGGTTTATTCAAAGAATCACAGGTAAAATTAAAATTACACGTCCAGATCTCTTCCACCTCCGACCTGCACGCAGGCAGACGAAGTATGAAAGACCCTGAACCATAATGCCTATACAATTTTATCACTTGGTTGGGCTAGCCCATGCTACACAGGAACGTCAAACCGTGACGTCACCTGATATGCCAGCTTTGCAGCTGACCATAACAATAGTCAAAACATGAAGAAAGTCAAGGTGTGACATGAAGAAAATTAAAGTGTGTGGCTGTTGATTAGTGGTGTGTATCTAAGAACATTTTGACATGACCTTACACATAAGAAAATATTATGATTACAATTATGGTTACACATCTCATAATAATAGCAATCACCTCCTGCCTGCAAACATTTCTATCTAGTTGTCCTTGGCCCATATGCAGCCTGCAAAAAACTCATGAGAATGACTAAGCATTTAACAGCCTGAGCTAGACAGCCTGGCTCCACTAAACATTCCTAATACAACGAATATCTAATCAATATCTATCTGACTAAGAAATTACCTAACAAATGAAAACTGTTAGAAATTTATCCGATTCTTTTGTTGGAAGCGCGAGAAGTGAAGACAGGAGGGGACTGTTTAAAATCAACAGAAGGTTTACTGGAAGTCTGAGCACAGGTCAGATCTTACAGCGCTGGGATCAGAGAGACAGAGCTCCCGCAGGAATTCCATCCTCTGAACCATGAGTTGTGTTTTTACAATGCATTTATCTGGCTGGGCTAGGCCCGCCCTTAACAAAGGTACAACAATTCACACTTTGTAATCCTATTGGCCATTTGGAGTGAGTAGGTCAATCCCTGCTTGCTTGCTGATATGTGATCTAGACCAGGTGTGTGTGTGTGTGTGTGTGTGTGTGTGTGTGTGTGTCTCAGGTGGCAGCTTGATATTGATCATTGAGCCCTGAACAATGGGTGGTCTGGGTTGCAGGCCCCCTGTGTGTGTGATGCTAATAAGTATGTTAAACTGGCCAGGTGGTCATCTCAGGTTGAAGGCCCCCCTGTGTGTGTAAGACACCCCCTGGTGAGGCAGAACTTGGGATATGCTAAGTGGGTCAAGGTGTGAGTGTAAAACAGGCCAACAGGTCTTTGTTAAAATGTAAATAGGCTGTCTGGTTGCTTGGAGATGCAGACATCTTGTCTCTACAGAATTCAAAGTAAACAGATTCTACTTCATTATCACTTGATTCTCATCAATACAATAGTGAGATATATAAGCAAGGAAAATAAAGGTATGAAAAGTAACCAAGAGAAAATGAAGAACTGAAAAGTAACTAAAGGAAACTAGAGTTGTGAAAAGTAACTAAAGGGAACTAAAGTTATGAGAAGTAACTAAAGCTTATAAAGTAACTAGAGCCTATAAGAATTAAATTTTACAAAATAAACCTTCTCGTCTGTGTGTGTTGTTCAATACCTGGTTCTCTCCCCTTCTCTCTCCCACATAACAGAAGCAGGGCATTGATCGCTGCTGTGCTCCATTCAGCCATGCACTGCACCACCCTCACATGCATACTAACACACACACCTCACACAGTGTACATGTACACAGACTTGTATTTGTCATACACACTCAAATACACTTAGCCAGCGAGCAGACAAGCTGCTGATGGGCTCAAGCACAAGCTAATGAACACAACCCTCTGGAATTTCCATGTGCATACACGTGCACGCTCACAGTTTTTCTCCTGTTTTTCTAACAGTATTGATCGGAGCTGTGGGGGAGGTTCTCTGATGCAGAACAGTGGGAAAGCTCCAGGGAAAACAAAGTACAGCTCCCTAGCTGATGCTCATTTATCACTCGGTGGGTGCTCGTCGATCGGTGTTGAGTGTTTCATTACAGAGAGGTGTGCGTCCTGTCAGAGGATGTGCGTGATCAGAGATGTGAACATGTTACCTAAAAACTACATTTCTGCACAGCTTATCTCCCTGAGTGTTAATGCATACTAGTTTAATGTACTACAAGCCCAAACAGGGGGTGTGGATTGATAGCGGCCCATTTCCACAAGCTATAAAATCCATGAAGAATGAAGGAAACAAAGGAAATCCAGCCTATACATTGTTACAGAAGCTTCTAGCCCCCACAGTGTCATATATAGTTTCATTCTATTCACCTTGTCCATAACGTATGTAAATCAGTGAAAGGAGTCAGGATGTCTAGTTAGGCTGTTAATTGCTTAGTCATTGTCATGAGTTTTTGCAGGGTGTATATGGTCAAGGATAACTAGAAAGAAAAGTTTGACTGTCAGCAGACAGGATGTTTAATATTATTATTATGATGTGTATAACTGTAGCCTTAGCCATAATATTTTCTTATGTTTAATGTCATGACATGTCACTAGAGGTCGTGTTAGAATGTTTTTAGCTACACACCACATAATCAACAGACACAACACACATTGATTTTCTTCAT